ACTCCAGATAAAGCAGGAGTATGGATGTTTGTAAAATATATTAAATCCATCAGATACGTCCATACCCACACAATAGGGGTAAATCTGTGTAATTTACTGACAATCTGTACCTGACATTATGGAGGGTTGATGTCTGAATCTGTTAATAAACAGGCCTCAACTTTAACAAATATTTAGCCTAGCTTATATTCTGAATGAGTCAGCATTTTTTAAACTCGCTTCGCGTTCCTATCATTTACTATGAGTTTGTGCTGTCAGAAATATTGCAACAGTTTCTGAGAGCTAATAATGAGTAGGCTACAGCCAACCTGCTGCTGCGTGCAGCTCCTGTGGTTCCGATCCACTGACACCACATGAACAGGTGAGCCGACAGCTCCTCACCTCCTCATGCAGGACAGATCCGCCCAAATCAGGACGGTTAAAAACACATTTTTTCCTTCCTTTTTCATTTTTACAGATGACAGAAATCAATCTCGCTGACAGCATACATGTCAAGTTGTACAGGTTGTCCATAATAGATTTTCCCATTTTGCAGACAGACGTGGCAATGAATCTCCCGGGTTTTTTTTTTGTTTGTTTTTGTTTTGTTTTGTTTTGTTTTTTTTTGTTTAACTCAGCTTCAAATTTATTTTACGTGTCAGAGCCTGTAGGATGTGAATAAACAAGAAATAAATACAATTAAAAACCAGCTCAAATTGATTTTTTGAGGATCAAGATGCAGTTAACATCTGAAGTAGTTGACGTGTGTGACGGAACTTCACTCATTCAGCTATTTTACTGGCTACGTTAAATCCAGCTGTCTATGAGCCCAGCTAGGTCTGCTACAAATTAGCTCAATTTCAACAAGTAGGCTAGAAGCCACAGCAAAAACCAAAAAACAACTTGGAAAATCAATCGCAGTCATTCTGTTCAATACACAGCTCCCTCACTTCTGACGTCTGTCATGGCAACTTGTGGTGTAGGTGCAAAGGGTCAATAGTTACAGCTTTTTTTCTTTGTTAAACTATATTTACCTTTTGATCTCATCATTTTCCATAATGACATGGAAAAAATCTGCATAATAGGTCACAGCTACAGATGACACAATCCAGAAAACAGAGTGCTTGTTGATACGAGGGAGTGGTTTCACATCTTTGTCTTCCTGGCCTGAAAGGTAAAACACATGTTAAAGTTTAGAAAAGACTAGAACGCCACATATTCTACAGTAACTATGACAGTGTTGTATTCTGTATTTACATACTGTATGTAGATACTAAACAAGAAAATTAAAAACTAGCATACTAAGAGATATGAACAGATTACAGTATTGTATAGCACTTACCATATATGAGAATTACCTTATTAGCTTACAGAATGTACATATCATTTTTCCTGTCAGAAAGCTATTAATCTCTGTAATCTACTGACATTTACATTGATTAAACGTATCAGGGCTTGTTTTTGGCTGCTGAAGTGGTAAAGCATGCTAAACTACTTCTTCTGAGTTATCTGTGAACTTGGTGGCTTTGGCAAGCAGCTGTCATACATCTTAATAAAGTTAGACATTAAGTTTAAACTTGTACTAAACAGGTGGCATCCCAAATTATCTTGTCATGAGGACAACTATGTGTACTAAGGTATCATTGTGTCCTGACAACACACAACCAGAATAGGTAAAGGAATAAGGTTTCTCTGTCTAATTTTGCTGAGCTAACACAGCTTTTGTTCACAGACAAAACAATTAAGAATTGCTGGATTTTTGCCAGTGAAGGTCTGACAGTTGGACAATTGTCCACTTGTACAGTTCGAAAGGGAAACAATACATGCATTCACTCATGCTAACTCAGATAATCGGCTTGCAAACAAGACTTGAATACTCAAAATAAAATGACATWTTATCTGGATAGTCTCACAAATTTGTGTGTGGTTGGGGGATCTAAATACAGTTACTCAGGAGGCAGGTAGATGATTCACAAGTCCTTGCCAACTAAAACAACAGAGCAGGAAGTTACAAAATTCAATACGAGATTACGATTGGGCAGACTAAACTAGACAGGACAACTGAGGATTTGGCTAAGGGGTAACAGAAAACTAATGACTATATGGGAAAGGATAACGTAGTGTTTAGGAGCAGGTGTGATGTTAACAGTCACAAAAATCAATCAGTCCAAGATGATAAAAAAAAAAAACAATCATAAGAAATGCAAGGGACATGCAAAAGGAAATACAAATTCTATTTAAAAAAATTTTGAGCCCCAACGGCTTTAAGTCAAACATTTTTGTAATATATGAGTGATTCATATAATACACTACATAATAATACACCAATAAGTGTAAATTACTGTCTATTATTAAGACACAATGTAACTTTTATCATCCAGAAGGTTTGAATCTATTTGTTTTTTCATATGTTGCCACTATTTTAATATTACTGTAATAGCATTCATTAAATCCTTTATGTGGAGACACTTTGCAACAACACCTATGGGCGTAACACAATGGATTAGCTGTAGCCTTTTAGTTAATCATGAGTGACAGGTAGGTAATAATTTAGCTAAATTCGTTAGCAAACATAACATTTCGAAGCTTACTCTTTTCATCTTCGACAGCCGGTGTCAATGTTTGCCTAAGAAACTCCGCATCTTTTTTAAACCTGTTCCTTAAATTCACATATTCGCTGTCATTCAACATTTTGTTGGTCAACTCACGTTAGCTCCTGAAGCTAACGTAATTTAAAGGCACTTCCTGTTGAAAAGTACAGTCGCTTTCTGATGACGCAACGAAGACGACTGTTGTAGTTTTTGTTCATTGAAGAGAATCAAAGGATTGATCCGTAACATGTGACGAGAGGGGGGGAAATATAATTATTTATTTATATTTGTGTGTGTTTATTTGTACGTTTATTTGTACAACAAATAAATTAACTTAAGCTGACTTTGCCCCGAGGATTTCTTTGTACTTTTTAAAGTAATGTAATGTGTTTACTTAACTTTATGCTTTACATGCAGAAGATTTGATTCAATTTATATTTTTTGTCAGCCAACACTCTTTAACTTCACAGAATGAATGACTACCATCCAGAGCTCATCCTTACTTTATTGTATACTGGAAGAATATGATACTGCTGTCCTACTTTTAAACTCTCTAAAGCCTAAAAAGACAAAAGCAGATTACGCACATTGAAGAAAGACAAATCTTTATTGTTTCACTGCTTTACTATCAGTTAACAATTGTAACACTTAACTATTGTATAGTTAGGAACACCTTTAATTTGACCTTGTTACAAAGATGTGTAGACCCATTCTAATAACTTTTTAATAGACAAATGCATCTATCCTTGAGATGCCATGTAACAGCTGCTCATAAGAACTGAATGGACTTTTCACTCCCTCTACAAGAGCATACAATTATTATCAGAGGCTTCTATTTAATAAATGTTTCAGCWGTCAGTATACAATGTGAAAAGCGTACACCTATTCAAACGAGAGAAAAATATGACAAAATATTTTCAGTTTGGTAAMTGAATYGGTCAAAGGTAAAAGTTCGAAAATTCTGAAGAGATGCAACTACATATCTAAGGTTAAATGTTGCACTTAAATATTTGTTTGTAAAAAAGTTGTTCTATTGACAACTACTAAAATGGGATAGCTGGATATTTATGTTCCTCACAACAGCAGAGGTAGGCTCAATTGCAGGATCTTGCAAGATTAAAATAGTTAAGCCTCACTGAGGAATACTAGACTAGAAAACATAATTTTAATACTAGCAAATGTGAATAACAGCTTGACTAAAACCCAGAGCGTGCAATATACGGTTACAGGTAAGCAGTGCGATGAATGAGCATCAGTGTTAAACCTGCTGGGATTAGAAGAGCTCCACAGAGCTGGGCAGATTTACTCTAGGGTGTGTGTTTGTGTGTGTGTGAGGAGACTGCTCATTCCAGCAATGGAAATCAGAAAGCATTAAAGCTTCACCTGAGGCTGACACCAAGCTTCTTGATTCTATAGAGCTTCTGTGTCTCTGGCCAAGTGAACCCCGTTCGCGGTGCGGTGGAATGCGCATTAGCTTCATCCCGTGTGCGAGTCCAATTCACCCTGAGCGGACCCCTTCCCCTGACTCCAACATCCAATCCTACAGATAAGGTGCCATTTTGTGGCCTTACCTTGTGCTTGGAATGTGCAACAGAGTATCATGCCATCAACATTGTCACCTTATACATCAAACAGCACTGGCACATTCTAAGTRAGCTGGTATAAATTACACTGACCAGGTCCGCAGCATAAAACCGTTTATTCTTCAAGACCGTCTCGAACGTAGGAAAAAAAAAAACTTACAAGGAAGACTTCCAACAATCACATTTTAATTTTAAAATTCTATGCACATGCCAGAAGAGTCTACTGTATCAGCTTGACTCGATCTTTCAAAACTCGAAACTTGGGATTTTTGTTGATTTTCTTGTTGAAAAATGCCAACACCTCCACTTCTGTTTTAACATTTCTTTCACCAGTGAAAGAGTAATAGGCTGCCAAAACCTGCAAAAGGACAAAACATAAAGGATAACTTTTATTTTGAATCGCTGAAATAAAAAATRAAAAAAATGCACAGGAATGTCTTCATGTCTCACCTTTTTCCTGAGTTTCTTCACTGGCAGCTCTTGGTCAGGTGCCTCTCTTAGTACTGCCTTGATGGTTCCTTTCCAGTTAAATTTTCCTGTAAGTGGGTTAAAAATTTAATTTCCAGTACAAACGTTGGCTGAGGGTCATTTGTAAACAAAAATCCAACACTGACATCTGCTGGCTCTATCAAAAACACTTTTTTGTTTGTTTTAATCAAAACTCCAGTCGCTGAAAATAATGGTTGATATTCTCAAACATTTCTTTGGATCTGTGTGAGTGGACGTTATAAAAACACCATGTTACCTCGAGAGGCAGCCTGATCCTCGGTCTCCTCGGTCATGAGATCATCAGAAGCTTCGACTGAAAAAAGATGGACGCAGGTTTACGTTAAACTCCAGCTTGATGCACTTTTAAACTAAAAGAAAAATAGTTGTCCTAATAATGGACAGCATACTTTTTTAAACACACAAATTGAACGTAGAGGAAAAATGTTGACTTACCTTTTGTTTGCTTAGCAGAGGTTTGGTTTTCAACACCGTTCTCATTCCACTCTTCATCTTCAGCGTCTTCGTCTCCATGTTTTCTTTTTCGGTCTTTCTTCTTCTTCTTTTTGCCAGTTTGGTCTTCTTCGGGTTCTTGAGCGGCTGCTTTTTCCTCACCCTTTGCTGCTTTTTTATTCTTTTGCTGTCTGGCCTCTTTACGTTCCCGTTTGTTCAGCTTCTTCTTTTCTTCACACTCTGGTTGGCCGTCCTGGCTTTCAGTTCCATTAGTGTCCGCTCTGTGTTCAGCTGCAGGGTCTTTGTTCTCATTAGCTGGCTGTTTGGTCTCAGTCTCCTGAAAGATGACGGGTAGTAAAAATTACTTAAATGTAAATACAAACCTTTTACTGGCATTTTTAAATATAAACAAATCAAAACTCTACTTAAGCTTTTTCCAAACTTCAAGATAATAAATGTATAAATTGTCCTAAATTACACAATTTAATCATTTAGGCACTGTTTTGGTTTGGTGGTAATTTCACTTATACCTTGAGCTATGTAGTGTAATACTACCAATTTTCTAAATTAAAGGCCCTGTCACACTGTGACGTTTTAGACAACTCATGCCAACTTGTAAAAATTTTAAAGACATCTACCTTGAAGATAGAATTGAAAAAAAGTCAACTGGAAGCTTCTTTTAGGTGTGTACATACTGTAATTCTAACACATTGATCAACTATATGACTTTAGACATAAAAAGAATGTTTCATAAGTTGGCATAAGTTGTGTAGTGACAGGGCCTTTAAATAACTTAATTTGTAAGAAATAATATTACTGGCAACAAAAGAAACCTTTTCTGTCTTCTTGACCACAACATTTCTGTCAGCAAAAATATGGTGGTCCTATTTGGACAAACGTCATCRACTAAACGTTTGCATGTCGCTGTAAGACTATTTTCTTATTGACTGTATTCATAGGCAACCTTAAAACAAACAAAAAGAGGAGCTTACACTGTCATCTGCAGTAATTATGTTCCAMACTTCATCATGTAGACCAGTGTTGGCTATTTTAAGACTGTTTTTCATCCAGTTCTTGAAGAAGAAAAAAAAACAGAAAAGTGATTAATTCTTGTGTAAAATATTATATTATGTCAGCATGTTCACACACAGGAAAAAAATATTATATAGAGTTTTTCACTGATGTCATCAAATCAGAAAGTATCTGTGCTGGCTGCATTGCAGGTTTAAACAGAAGCTTGARCTGCATTTCTTTGTTAAAATCATTGTGTTTGTGGCCGCTACAATCAGTCAAACCACAAGAAAGACTTAATCTATTATAGGCCACCACTTTATCACAAAAGTTAATGGTTRTATGTTGCATTATTTTGAGGGGACAGCAAATTTACACTGTAATACAAGACATACACTGATTAGGGTAGGGAAAATTAGTTGTGTGTGCAATAAATCTTCAGAWAAACTATCAACATTTAATACTTGCCAATTTACAATTACTGCAATTAGTGCTGCATGATGACATATTTTTGTGTGCCATCACTATCAGGTGTGCGTGTGAGCTTAATGGCAGAAGGCAGTGTGGAGCAGCTAACACTAACCCTACGAATTTGTTTAATCACCTGAAACACCAACATAAACTGGAGTAAAAGGGAAGCCAGAAWATGTTATCTATTAATCGTCATATTCATTTTTATTGGCTAAAAGACACGATTAATTATGATAWTTTTTTCTGCCAATATTACCCAACCCTAACCACTTTACATTGTATCAAAGTGTCATATCTTCACTGTTGTTCCATRAATTGATATAATAGAATATTCACAAAAATATGAGGTTTATTGTGAGGTACTGTAAAATTTCTTTTATTAGATGAAACCTAGATTAAGCATTGCACTAATCATTAGTTGACTGTGTTCAAACAGTGCTGCTGGCACAACCCTATCTTCTGACAGTTTACTGAGTTTGTATGGGTCTTGGTTTGCAAAATAATCCACATATGTTTTAGCAGCTTCTTTGCAGCTTTACTCCCAAGCAAGATGGAGAAATAGAGGAAAATAATTTGACTCTCCACTTTTAAAAGAAATGTGTTTACATAATGGCAGCAATGCACAATTCTGGTTTTCATGACGTTGGTGCAACATTTCCTTACTTGTTCTTACTTCAAATTTGTTTTTGGACACTCCTCTTGCACTTACACTGGTGCTATAGCATAAACTGAATCTTCTGAGACATTTACAGACAGTTTTTAGTAAATTTAATTTAAAGTCTAAGGTAAACTTTTTTTAAAGTGAATCATTTTATTGTCATAAATAGTCCTTATGTTTGTTATTCAGTCTTGTATTTAACATTTTTATTTTCATAGTTACACATATTGCTATTGCTGCTTTATATTATCATCTGTTTACTGGTATTTATTGTACATTGTTTTTACAATATAACTGTTTTCAACTTTTGTATAATCCAAGTGTTGTTAATATACAGATCTGTACATTATTTTACTGAATAAATTTGATTGATCAACCAACAAGTCTATAAATATGAAATTATCACAAGCAATGCAGATTATTAAAAAAAGAAACATTTGTTGGCTCTTTTCAGTGATACTAACCTGAAACTTGGCCTTCTTCCTCGGTACATTATCATATGAACTAACTTGTCTGAGTACGTCTTTCAGCTTGGCACTGACTCCAGGTTTGTTCATGGCTTCATGTACTCGCTGTAGGAAAACAAAAATACAAATAAGTAAGTTTTTTTAAACCATAATCAAAAGCCTGCTAACTTTACATGAGATCTGTTTACCTGTATCCACTGCTGCTGTTTAACATCTCCTTTGTTTGTCTTGGCCTCGTAGCCTTTTCCTCCATACTTCTGATCTTCGCTGATACATTTAATGTGGTTTTTGTAGTCATCGCCCCTGTGTAGGAGGTAAACAAACATCAGTCGCTTGATTTGGAGGCAGATCTGAAGGCAYTTCCACCTAATAAACAAACTAGAAAATAGTATGGTAAAAACTTAGTCATTCATTACCAGAAGTCTTTTCCACAGTCGATACAGGACAGGACCTTACACCCACGACACATGTTCACATGCTTCTCAACCTGAGCTTTTTTCAGTGATTCACCACACGCATTGCATGTGAAGAAAACCATTTTAAAATTYTGTTTGTCTGTAACAACCACTACAAATACTCCAAATCAAACAAATCTACGTGTAAATGGTAAAAACCTCACGCCTAATGTTTGCTGAGTCGATGAAACAAACTAACGATACCTAAATATGACAGCCTAAACTTTAAAAGAAACATATAGCATTTGAAAAACATATAAACGTAGCTAGGTGCTAAAACGATTTTGTTTTTCATTCAATATCGCAGCTAAAAGTGACCGTTCGGATTCCTTTCCTGCAAACTTTTCAAAACACACGTGATGCACTTCGGCGTTACATTATTAATGTTCCGTGAGCAAATACAACCAAAGAAAGGTTCCTAGGAAGACTGAAAGACTAAACTAAAGTTACTTATATACTTGAATATACAAGATTTTACATTTTAATTTGCAGTGACAAATTAAGGTTACAAACATGTCACATTATCCTGTTTGTAGAATTTAAATAATCGTTTCCCCTTGGCTTCTAGTTTTAAAATATAGTAGCACCAGGAAGTTACGTCATGTTACYACAGTCGAAAAGTGACCCATCATCCCAATAAAAGGCAGAAATTCGTTATTGTATGTATGTATATGTTTATATGGTTAACGCTCCCGACTGAGTGATGTAAGACATGGTTTTGTTGACGAAAATGTTATGATTTCTAAAAAGAAACACTGTTTTGTTAGCGTAGCATTGTTGTTAGCTCAACCATGTTCGCCCAATTTTTGCTTGGGTGGTCTCGCAGCTCGGACTCAGTCGATTCTGCGCAGTTATTGAATAATATGAATGAGTGTTGTAACTTTTCCTAACAATGTCAGCTGACTAGCTGAATAAATGTCAATTTCGTTTAGCCACTCGGCYCATTTGTCTCACTTTGGCTTTCTTTTTTTTCTTGCCCTCTCTCGTTGATGCAGAAGTTGAAGCTGAGGAGGTGCAGCAGCTTTAGAGACCATGGACTCCCTGTCCAGCCACAGCTCCTACCTCCTCCAGCAGCTTCAGGAGCAGAGGATTCAGGGGCTTCTCTGTGACTGCATGCTGGTGGTCAAGGGTGTCTGCTTCAAAGCRCACAAAAACGTCCTAGCTGCTTTCAGTTCTTATTTCAGGTGCTTATATCCTTAAAGATCACTTCAACAYTATCACAGGTAATCTTGCTGAGATGTTACATACAACCCTAATTTGGAAATCATGACTTAATTTTCCAGATCAGAGTTCCAAAACTCTCCAAGTCAGAAAAACGACGTGTTCAACCTGGTTATCCAGGACGTCAGCGGCATTGGCCAGGTGCTGGATTACATGTATACCTCTCATCTCGACATTAACCAAGATAACGTGCAGGCCCTCCTGGACATCGCTCAGAGCTTGCAGGTTCCAAATGTGCAGAACATGTGTAATGCTTTTCTCAAGCCCTGCCCTCCACCCGTGGAGATGTCTTCATTCTCTCTCCCAGGCATGCTAAGCTCTGAGCACGACTGCCTGTTGGGGAGCGGTCTTCCACACGATGTCGACCTCCACTGCCCCTCTGAACCTCAGAGGCCCAGCTTTTACAGTGACATGGACCACACAAGAAGGATGCCGGTTTCTCTGCCTAATAATAGCTCAAACTGTGACTTGCCTAGCAGCTCTCATGCGCCCGTAGAAAAACAGCTGGTTCATGGCTATAAGCTCCGTAATTTCTACAGTAAGCAGTATTTCAAACAAAGTGCTATTCAAACCAACAGTGCCGTCTTAAATCAAGGCCCAGGCCCCTTGGTGCTAACAGAGGAACAGCAGTGTCCACTTGGTATGAATCAGGGCGGCAATAACACAGCTGTAAGTTTAGGAAACACCGTTCAGTCCAACCCTGCTCCATCTGTAACAGTGGAGAAAACCACCATATCATCTTTGACGCCTTCAGATAATCTCAACACCCCTAACGCTGACTCAGCCGATTCCATGGCTGACAAACCAGTTCGCCCCAAAAAGGCAGTGTACCTGAAGAAATATAACTACCTCTGCTCTCAGAAAGCTCTGGAGGAGATGTGCACCGAGTCGGTCATTGAACCCATCCAGAGCGGTCCTAAAGCGAGTCACCCAGGCGAGCCCATGGCCCAGACGGACGCTCCAGAAGCTGCCGTTGAAGGCAGCCCTGCAGGCACGGAGGGGACCTCGGAGACGACAGCCGCTCAGCTTCCCAGTCCTCCACCCGTAAACCCGAAGGAAGTGAGCTTGAAGCCCGTGCCAGAGCCGTCGCAGCAAACGGGGAACAAGCAGTACTGTTGTGACGTGTGTGGGAAGATCTTCAAACACCCGAGCAACCTGGAGCTGCACAAGCGCTCCCATACTGGTATCACATCTTCTAATGTATTCAAAACAAACAGCGGCACCGTAGTCCTAAAGCTTTGGCACAAACACACGTTTTTCTGTTGCAGGTGAAAAGCCATTTCAGTGCAGTATTTGTGGGAAACACTTCTCACAGGTGAAAATTTTAAAATGTAATTTTGACACTTTTTAAAATGATTTATATCAAGATATAAAGATTTCCTTTATTTCCCTTACAGGCAGGAAATTTACAGACGCATTTGCGGAGACATTCTGGAGAAAAGCCATACATCTGTGAGTTATGTGGTAAAAGGTAATCTTTGTCTTTTTTTTAATCATTACCAGCTTTGTTGTATTTTATTCATTTTTTCCTTTTTAGAAAACATCTTTAATACATTACAACATTTTGCAATTTACTTTTCAGTTTGTGTTATTTTGACTTCATTTAGTGCATATTTAAATTTTATTTCAGTAACAGTTATAGATTGGAAAAATAAAAAGTTGGTTGTAGGGGTTGTCACATTCAAATGTAGCAGTTTCACTACAACATATACAGTATTGTGTCCAATAGTGGATAGCTTGAAAAGTTTTTAAAAATAGTTTAAACTGGATTTTTATCATTTTCCAGCTTTACTGCAGCAGGGGATGTCCAGCGTCACAAAGTGGTTCACACTGGAGAGAAACCACACCTGTGTGACATCTGTGGTAGAGGTACATCTCTCTGATGATGCCTAAATTTCTTACTTATCGTAATTGTTATTTTGTTTGTTAGATAGAAAATGGCAGCTTGTGTGTAAGACRGATGTTTTCTTGTTGTGTCGTTTGCTCAGGATTTAACAACCTGAGTAACCTGAAGGAGCACAAAAGGACTCATGCAACAGAAAAGACCTTCACCTGCGACCAGTGTGGAAAGTCCTTCAACACGCACAGAAAGCTTCTGAAGCACAAGGCTCGGCACGCTGGAGAAAAACCACACAGCTGTGACACGTGTGGTAAGGACCTGTCTCATCTGTAGTTCACAGCTAACATTAAAGGCAAAGGGCAGAGGGACAGTTTTTTTGCCCATGTTTGTGTGTTTATTTGTACTGTTAGTAAAATTTCGAATGAATCAATACATAAATTTCAATTAAGTTTTCAGAAAGTAATGATTAAGTGTTCATTAACAACTGATTAATGTTTGGTGGTAATCCAATTCAAAATGTCCACCACAGCTGATCAGCCTGAGCTTACACAGAACTCAATGTATTTCAGTGAATTTTATAAATTCTTAGCTAAAACTCAGTAGTAGCTGAAGATCATTCAAAACACAGACTTCAAGCTTTAACAGATCCTGTGAGATCCTTCATGATACCTCAGTATTGCATGAGGTTGTACGTATTTTTAAGGTTTGCCAAGAAAAGATGAGCCTTTATTTATAAAATGAATGCATTGTTGTTTTTTTAATTATTTATTTGGTTAAAGAAGTATAGTTTTAGTACATGAAAATGAATCTTGCTGCATGTTTGAGGAATAAACTGAAGCTACCCTGCTAACATGCTTCAACACACTGCCTTCTGCATGGCTTTACTCAGTCTTTAAAAAGAGAAAAGGTATGCACAGATGATAAAAAAATGAGAAAATTTTCTATTTTTAAGTTCTTATCATTCAGAAATACTAATGTTATGAGAAATTAAATAAATATTGAGGAATTCACATAATATTTTAGAGATTTTTTAAATGTATTGTTTTAAGTCAAACTAGAGAAATTGCATTTCCTGCAACAACAGTGTGAATCCTTTTAACCTAATAATTTAGCTGAAAGCTGCTGAAGAAGTGAAATATTTTTAGAACTTAATTGAGCTATTAATGCTTGCCGAATTTTAACAGTTGAGGTAGAACCCAAAATTTTAGCTGAAGGGGCAGATACTAGCTGAAAAACGCAGAAATATGCAGATAAAAGTAAACAGAGTAGAAATATAACTGAAAGGGACAGAAAGAAGGGAAAAGGAAAAAAAGAAAAGTTTAAAGTAGCAGAAAGGTAAGAATGATAGCTAAAAARGCAAAAAATCGGCAAAATAGAAGCCGAAGGAAGCTAAAATTACCACAAAGAAGTTTAAAAAAAAAGAATCAGAATATAAAATAAAAAGTACAGTAAAGATTTATGAACATTTTTGAAGGGTTTTAAGGATGTTAAAGATTTATTTTCAATGAATAAAAAATAACAGAAAAAGTTAAATACTGTATCTCAAAGAGTATAAATTGCTGAAGTACAAAAAGTCATAGCTGGAATGTCCTGAAAGACGTGAATGTTTTGATATAGAAATTGTTGAAATAGATCAGGAATACTGGAACAAGTTGCGTGCCGAAAAATAGATGGAAGAAAGAAATGATTTCAACATTGTGACAATAAATGAGCAGTATTTATCAAACTGGCTGAACAGGTTGAACCACAGTAAGATAAAGTTAGAGAGACCAGACTGAGATGGTTTGGACATGTCCAGAGGAAGGACAGTGGGTATATTCAGTTCAATAATACTTTATTACTCACAAAGGGAAATTAAACGTTGTATCTCATATTATCCTGGTTCCTTTGAAGAGTTGTTATAGATCCTGATGGCTGTGGGCAGGAAGGATCTCCTGTAGCGGTCCAGCTTACAGCAGATCYGAAGAAGCATCTGACTGAAGACACTCTGTTGTAGTTTGACAGTCTGATGAAGAGGGTGCTCAGAGTTGTCCATCGTATGGTCAGAAAGCCTGGCAGGGAGACACTGGAGTCAGGGATATAATCCTGCAGCCATGTCTCAGTGAAACATAATCCTGCATTCCTGATACTCTGGCTGGGTTCTTGTTRGGGCTTGGAGTTCATCCAACCTTTTCTCCTTTGATCTCCCATTGCCCATCATGATCAATGGAAGAGATGGTTTGAACTTCCTCCTTCTCTCTCTCCTCTTTGCACCTGCTCTGCATCCACAGCACCTCCTGTTCAACTTATCTGGAATTCGGGKCTGTAGTTGAGGTCTTATTTGAGCTTTTGACATATTAATCAGCTGCTCCCAGTTATAACAGACCACCATGTTGCTGTGGTTAAGCATCATAACAAATGTCCAAAAGCAAACTAGGTGTTAGCAAAAATCCTTCCAGCTGCACAGCGTCTAATAGCAGAGGGAGTAATCATCCAAAAAAAAGGCTATTTTTTATCCAGAAAAAGAGGAAGAATATCCCAGAATGAATGTAACAGAGCTACTCGTACCACCTTGAGCAGCACAATTCTAGAACATTATGCATGTTAAAGATGCAGCTGCCAGGATAAAAACAAAGAGGAGATAAATTATGTTATTCATCATAATATCACCTCCCTTGTGTTATACCTGATAAAGATACATAAAATACTGTAAATCCCTGATTATATACACTGTGAAGCAACATATTTTACATTGAATGTTTGTTGTTTCATGCAGGAAAGTGCTTCATCGGCTCTGGAGACCTGCAGCGTCACATACGCTCACACACCGGAGAGAAGCCCTACATCTGTAACACGTGTGGGAAAAGCTTCACCCGCTCTGCCATGCTGAGGAGACACAGCAACATGCACTGCAAGGGCCCGGTGATCTCAAGCCCGGCGGCAGTGGACTCGGAGCAGACGCACAGTTCAGACGGAGCCGCCTCCTTCTCCAAACCTGTCAGCCTGAACAAACCACCTGCTGCCGCCTCCGAGCAACACTTCTCCCCTATGCTGCCTAACGCAGAGCTGGATAAACCCTCCCCGCCCAGTCCTTCGCCACCACAAGCCACRCAGCGCATCGAGACTCCGCCTCCCAGCATGCACCTCAGCCCAGCGCTGACGTCGCTCCCCGAGCTGCGCTCCCTGGTTCCCCATCACCTGCTGTCATCCAGCCACCAGGAGAGAAGTGCAGCTCTGCTCCCCGCAGACCGCATCAAGCTGTCCAAACCGCACGACACTCCAGAGATTGTTTACGGTCCTTACATGGAGAACGGGAATATGTCAATCGACAGCGACCCGGCGGGGAGACCCTACCTGCCCCCCACAGACAGCCCCTTCACCGGGTCTAGTAGACCCTACAGGTCCAGTGAAGGTCAGTATATTTCCAGTGTAACTTTATGGGGTCTGGCAATGAAGACTCTGCAGAATGATAACGACATGGAGCAGTGAACTCACCCCTGCCAGATTACACTTCTGCATTTTTTCATGTATTTATTTAGTGGTTGAGATGGATTAAAACTGACCCACGCCATAAACCGTAGATGGTAACCTTCTTAAGGAAGCAAAGACAAGTGGGAAAAGAAAGGGTTTGAAGATGGAACTGAATAAAATTAAAGTGAAATATGCTTCCAGTTTTTCACTGATTGGATAAAATTGTCAAATGGTTTCTGCGCTGCTGTGGGTGATGTTTTTCAGGTCACACCCCAAGTAGTGATGTCACAGGAGGTATTTACTCTGTCTCAACATGGACCTCATTAGGTTGTGACAACAGTTGTAGCAAATTTTGAACCGTTTAAGAAAAAGGCAGCATTTGTTCCATTTTGTGATTCAGCGCCACTCAATGCTTTTGACATCCAACGTAAAAAAAAAAAGTTCATTTTTTTAGAATCACAGAGAATAACAAATAAGTTTAGTATTTTATTTTATTTTATTTTTGTATACACTGCACTTTACCCTTAAAGGGGAAATATCATGCAAAGTCCATTTTTTTAACTCTTAAATATATTTTGTTGTGTATTTAGAGTCTTATGCAGTGCAGAAAAGTTGAATTTAGTCTCTCCCAGGGCTGAATCGATAAGTTTACATTATTTTGAGGTCATATTTTTCAACCTGTTTGCTGAACTGTTACGTCAAATTATTTGCGACAGAACTGCTAAATAAGGTCTGGACTTCCAACTATAATCTGACCAGTCAGACTCTGACTCCAACATGTAAGGCTGGATGGACAAGTCGTCTGTTGATTACATCTTTTAATTAATTTGTAAATGTAAAAAAAAAAAAAAACGTTTCTGCACTGTTACACAGTCGTAAACCCCTCTATCAAACTGGAATGGACCAGTCTAAAAGAAATAGCCTCAAAATAAGATAATCTGAGACACACCTCATAAAAGAGGTGAAAGGGGGGCTTGTGGAGTTACAATAAGGAGGAATTCAGATCAGAGCATTGCAGTTCCACTTTATAAACTGTATAGACCTACTGATTTAAATGAGAAAAAGAAGGATTTAAAAGCATGATATGACTCCTTTAATTCTCAAAATACATGTATTTTCACTATCAATAAAAACTGACTTATATTCATGAAACAATAAAAGTATTTAGATTCAATTCATTCTAAGTCTCAGTGGTTTATAATATAGAACAGCTTTCATAAAGACACCTTTGTTTTTGATAAATAATATAAATATAATAATGAAATGAAAACTTGTTTCAAAGTTTAATGAATTATTGAATCATGTAAAAGCACCAGTATTACAAAGGCTTGCATTCTTATACAAAAAGAAAATTAGCTGCACTTCATTAATTTATTTTTCAATTCTGTTCAATCTTTCAATTCAATTCTTTATTCATTTCATTAAAACCAAACAAAATTTTATATACAATATACAATAAAAAGAAAAATGAGAGAAAAAATATATTTACTGTATATATATATATATATATATATATATATATATATATATCAAAATCACAAATAAAATGAAATGAAAGGCAGCAGAGAGAAGAAAACAATCTTATAATATCTGCCCCTTTTTTCATTAAACCATTTTATTAAACCATAAAAAGAGAATACAGCATGATAGCTACAATAACAAAATATGCTATTGTCAAAGCTTTTTTAATTTGTTCTTTATTATTATTATTTAACAGCAAGATACCTCTGACAGAATCTAACTGTTACTGTGAGAACATAAAACAAGAATAAATATGAAAAATAAAACTGAAATGCTTAAACATTTCAGGATAATAGTCCATCAGGATTTAGAGGTCTGGGCACAGCAATCATAGGTGGGTGTTCCCATCTTGAAAATACTGCTCAGAATTTGTTTGCAAACCAGCACAGATTTGATTCTTTAAATCAGTGGTTCCCAACCTTTTTAGACTTGTGTATCCTTGTCTATGGGAGAAATCCCAGACGGAGCAGTGAAGGGAAACTAGAATTGAGCGGAGCTGCGTAGGAAGGCAAGGGCCAGGCCAGCGGACCGGATATAATTGTAACGCTGTGGGCTATAGCCTTCAGGTCTTCAGTTTGACAACACCTGGCTTTTAAACTTTTTTTCTTTTGTCTTGAACCAAAAGGACTCAAGTCATCAACTGATATGTGGCACTAAGTGTAATAAATATAAAATAATTCTTATCATTTCTGTGTGTTGAAGCTCAGTGGAGCGTCTAACATGTACCGCTGTGAATGTCATGCTGCTGTAAAACCACAGAGGGAGCTAAAAACTCCACAAGACAGTTCACGTTTAGATGTCCCCAGTTTGACAGAAAGACCCCAAAAGGCCTGATCTGTCCAAAGCATTCATCCAACATAAAGCTTCTCCTTCCCTAACAGATCACAGAACACGTCGTGTAAAAACGTAGCAGGAAATGTGCTGCCTGTCCCCCCCTCACCCACCCAGGCGCCTCAAGGTAGGAACGTTGCTTATGGGAGCGATCTGGTTTTCTGGATACTGATGAACGGAGCTGTCACAGATCAGAGTCACATCCAGCAAACGCCACGCACCAGTAATCCCCTCATGAACCCGCTGCATCATGGGAGTCACGGAAACAGACAGTGTTTGCTCCGAGACAGGCTTCCGTTGATTGGCCATCGTCGACACAACATCCCGGACTTGTTATGCCGTGCCTGCTGGATTAGTTGCCTAGCAACACATGGGATAAGTCTGTTATCATGGTGTTCATTCTCCCTCATTTACCCTTTACATCCGTCCTTCTAACTATGATGAAGAAGAGGAAGTGGGTTTTGTTTAGAGAGCTGACGTGCCTCTCGCATGATGTTTGGGCAAGTATGTGTCAAAACACCAATGCTGGCATCTGTCATGCTTTAAAACGCTTGTAAATGTCTTTTTACTATATATGATATATTGGTACGTGTTCTTTTAATGAAATGTTTTTTAATCCATCCGTGGAATGGTGATGCAAACACATTTTGAGCATTTTCTCACTTAACGGCGGCTATCAAAGTGTGAAGAAACTCCTTCTGCTCATCTCTGCAGCACGGAGGCAGGACTCAGTAGCACCCTGATGCTGTCCCTTATTTCCACATTTCATCAAATACATTATTTTAATGTAACATCATTTTAAATTCCAATGCTTTGCTCAATTTATTTTCATACTTTCTTGCACTGTAATATGAGGCTTTTACATTTTATAAATGCTGCTCGTCTTATTTTGACTGTGTATTGTGGATTTGTCTTTGAAGAGGTTGTCTTGCTTTTTACATTTCCAATTTTTTGTGAATGGTAATAGATTTACATGACTTTTTTTTTTTTTACAAAGCTTAAAGTCGACACCAGACAAAGTTTTTCTCCTTTAGAACATTGTTAATGAGCCACATAAACTGCTTCATTTATAGATAGTTACTWCATTATAAGAAAACATAAGAAGTAATATTACAGTGATTTATTAGACAAAAGTAATGGTGATATGAGGGCAACATGGCAAATAATGAATAGTGTTTTGAAAAATCATAAAACATCTTCAGGTATTTCAAATTATTTTGTAAACGATGACAAGGAAATATATGATCAAAATCAAATAGTAAATTAATTTAATCAGTACTATGCAAACGTTGACCCAAGTCTTGCATCAAAGATACCAAAAGTACACAATAACATCAGTCATACAGTCATGGGTTGTGTCAACAGCGTTTGTCTTGATGAAACTGATGGGGGAGAAATACGGAGTATTGTAAAAAATCTTGCAGATAAAAGATACAAAAAGACTGGATGGACATGGATATGATGTTAGTGAAGAACATAAGTGATTGTGTTATAGAGCCATTTACCTATATTTGTAATTTATCATTTTCAACTGGAATATTTCCATACAAATGAAAATAGCCAAAGTAATCCTTCTCTATAAGAATGGTGACGAATGTGCATTTAATTACTATAGACCAACGTCTTTGTTAACACAGTTTTCAAAGATTTTAGAGAAATTATTTGTGGCTAGATTGGATTTATTTATCGATGAATAGAATATTATAAGTAGCAGTAAATATGGGTTCAGAGCAAATAACTCTACTTCAATGGCTCTTATGGAATTGATGGAACAAATAACAACTGTTGTTGATCAAAAACAATACTGTGCTAGTATTTATGTTGATTTAAAGAAAGCATTCGACACCATTGATCACAATATAATTCTTCAAAAGGTACAGAAGGACCAGCACTACAGTGGATATCTAGTTATCTGAAAAATAGGAAACATTTTGTATAGATAAATGAAGTAAGATCTGAACTCTGTAACATTATGTGTGGAGTTCCTCAGGGTTCTGTAATTGGACTAAAGTTATTTATTTCATATGTGAATGATTTGGTTAATGTGTCAGGATTGTTTAAATGTATTTTATTTGCAGATGACACTACATTTTTTTTGTTCCTGTAAAGACATAGAACGTTGGAAATGATGCAAGCAGAATTTGTGAAAAAACAAAATTGGTTTAAACTTAATAAATTATCATTAAATTTAGATAAAACTAACTATATGATATTCAGTAATAGAAAGGGAATTATTAATGTTCCATTTAGAGTTGATGGTGTTGAGATCTGCAGAGTCAGTGAGGTGAAGTTTTTGGGTGTCATCATTGATGAAAAGCTGACATGGAGACCTCACATAAATTATTTAAGAACAAAAATTGCTAAATCTATTGGAGTACTGTATAGGGAGTTATTTAATGATAGAGCTCTGTATATGCTGTATAATGTAATGGTTGTTCCACACTTGATTTATTGCGTTGAAGTCCGGGGGAAAGCATGCAAAACAATTATAAACCCTGTTTTTGTTTTACAGAAAAGAGCTGTAAGAATTATTGCTAGAAAACACTACAGTCACCCATCAAATATATTATTTTATCAGTTGAAATTATTGAAGTTATATGAGTTGGTTGATAATGTTTTACAGGTTATGTATAAGGCTCACAAATGTATATTACCTTTAAACAACCAATTAAATTTTGTTAAGAGAGAAATATGTTATAATCTGAAAGGGGTAGAGATGTTTGTGAAACCTGGATTTCGAGGGAGTGATGTACTTCGATACAAGGAATAAGACTATGGAGCAATCTGTAGARTGATGTCAAAAATGCCAGATCAATATTTATGTTTAAGAGAATGATGAAAG